GTCCAGAACAGCCATCTTTCTCCACAGTAACTGATCTCGGTTGTCCGGAGATCCATTGTAATAGCGGGAGATCTCCAGGTTAAGAGCCAGTTTGATGTAATGGTTGGGAGCGCGGACTCTAATCGGGGCGAACCGGGTTTGAGTCCCCACTCCTTCACACGCAGCTGCTGGTATGACCTTGGGTCAGTCACAAGTTCTCTCAGAGAGCTGTTCTCAAGAGCAGTCCTCGAAAGAGCTCTCTCAGCCCCACCTACTTCACAGGCTGTCTGTTGTGGGGAGGGGAAGGAGATTTTAAGCCGCTCTGAGACCCCTTCAGGTAGTGAAGGGCAGGGTATAAATCCAATCTCTTCTTCTCTTTTTCTTCTTCAGGTGCCACCTGGAGATTGCCAAGCCTAGTGTGTGAACCAGGCCCGAATTCCAGACCGGGTTTGGCGGTGTGTGTGACCAAGACCACACCAAGTGCTTTGGGGATCTGCTTTCTTTCCAGTCTGGAGATATTTGCAAAAGTGATGTTTTCAAGCTAAGGTTAGCATCCACTCTCCAACACCCCAACCGCCCTGCAGAAAATCCCGACATTCCAGTCAGCCTTGGGGTGGGGGGAGACATTCCCAGGCCATGATCTGTGGTGGTGGTGGTGGTGGTGGTGGAAATCCACTCTGCTGTCAAAGCATGGGAAAGCCGAGCGTCTTTCTCCGGGAGCTCATTCCTGTGGCCGAGCCAGACAAGGAGGGCTCTTTGAAACAGTACCTGGAGCTGTGGTCAGCGGTGTGGCCATCTTGTCTGCCTGATGCCGCCTGGCCAGAGCCCAGCGGGGGACCGACTATTAGCCTTGCGGTTTCCTTGCAAAGTGGAGAGGCCTGCAAAGTGTCTCCGCTCTGCTCTGGGATCTTTCCTACTCCCTCCCAAACGCCACCTCCTCCTGCCCCTCCTCTCTCATCCCAGAACTCCTTCGGGACGTTCCCCAAGATCCACTTTTCCAGCAAATCCAACCAAGCCTTATCATTATGTTCCCTCTAAGCTGTGGAGTCTTGTGAGCAAAAATTCTACTCTGTGAGCTACTGGCATTAAAGTTGTGAGTGAGTGATTTGGCTACTGTATGAATTAGTTTGCTCTGGAGCCCTCCTTCCTTTTTTTTTTTAACAGACACACAAATAAACAACCACCACCAACATCATACCCCTCTTCTTAACTGTAGCTAATATCTTCCCATGTCTCCTTAATCAATTTGTTTAATTAATTGCTTGATTTTACATTCTCTCTGTCCTCATGTACATCAAATAACATTTCTAGTAATATTCCTGGTCAACTTAAGTTTCAACTATCTGGATTTCTTAATTCCTTCCTAAGACAAAAATGTGTGAGCTGGAGGCTAAAAAACTGTGAGCTAGCTCACACTAACTCAGCTTAGAGGGAACACTTACGGCTGGTTATTACGGAAGCTGTTGAACAGGCCACTTTCCCGCTTTGGAAAAGGTCTCCGGGAAGCTTGCAAAGAATGACAATACCCTTTGCAATGCGTTTAAAGCAGTGAATGTGAACGCGCATGAAGCGGTCTTCTACTGAATCCGACCCTCGGTCCATCACAGTCAGCAGGGCTATTTTTGGGCAGGAACGCACAGGAACGGAGTTCCGGCTGGCTCCTGAGTTGGCCACGCCCAGCAGGAACTCATTAGCATAATAGGCCACACCCAACAGCAGAAACTCATTAGGGTTGGCTACATTAGGGGTGTGTGGCCCAACATGCAAAGGCGTTCCTGCTACAAAAAAAGCCCTGGGTTTGGACAACAAACAAGGTAAACAGAATAAGAAGGGAAAGGTGGGTGTGGCTGGATGACCACACTTCTGGTGACATGGGGGTGTGGCCTAATGTGCTAATGAGCGGTGCTGTCAGGGTGTGGCCTAATATGCTAATGGATTTCTGCTGTTGGGTGTGGTCTATTATGCTAATGAGTTCCTGCTGGGCTTTTTCTACAAAAAGAGCCCCGACAGTCAGTATTGCCTACTCAGACTGGCAGCAGCTCTCCAGGGTCTCAGGCTGCTGTGGTCCTTCCCATCACCTATCCCTTTCTAACTGGAGAAGCCAGGGATTGAACCAGGAACCTTCTGCACAACAAGCAGGTGCTCTTCCACTGAGCCACAGCCTCGTTTGCAACGTCACAGAATCTGACACCAGGGCAAGGAGTCCGTTGGAAGACCTTCCAATGTTTTTAAAAGAAGTCTTTACTTGATGCCAAAACGCTTTGGGTTACGGGGCTAATTCCAGGGGGAGGCAGCTTCAAAAAGAGGGGGCAATTCATCCCGCCACTGCAAACCAACCCAATCCAACCGCTATACCAGTCTGGAGTACTGGTTAGGAGCGTGGACTCTAATCTGGGAGAACCAGGTTTGAGCCCCCACTCCTCCACACACAGCCAGCTGGGTGGCCTTGGGTCAGTCACCGTTCTCTCGGAACTGTTCTGGAAAGAGCAGTCCTCGAAAGAGCTCTCTCAGCCCCACCTACCTCCAGTGTTCCCTCTAAGCAGAGTTAGTGAAAGCTAACTCACAGTTTTTTAGCTGCCGGCTCACACATTTTCGTCTTAGCTCAGGAAGGAGGGCTCCAGAGCAAACTAATGTATGCAGTAGCCAAATCGCTCGCTCACAACTTGAATGCCAGTAGTTCACAAAGTAGAATTTTTGCCCACGAGACTCCACAGCTTAGAGGGAGCATTGCCTCTCAGGTGTCTGTTGTGGGGAGGGGAAGGGAAAGGAGATTGCAAGCTGCTCTGAGACGCCTTTGGGTAGCGAAGGGCGGGGTATAAATCCAATCTCTTCTTCTTCTATGGCAGAGGGGGTGACTGACTTCCTAGCCAAGGTTCTGTGCCTACTCCAGGAGAGAAGGCCGAAAGGGGGAATGAGAACCCAGATCTGAGGTGACTTGACTTCATGGGGCACAGCTCTAACAATGAGGAATTTCAGACAGACGATATAATCCGGAAGAGGAACGGTTCCCAAACAGTTTCTGCTTGAGCCACCGGAATATATTTGTAATTTCAGACACAAACGCTTCTGTCCCGTTTAGGAAATGGGGCTGAAGCATTTTACCTCTCAACTGCTTCCAAGTAGTCTTCAGTTTCCTCTCCTGGTTCCAATGCGCTTTTTCCCACCGTTTTTCGCCCGCGTGGGCGATCTCCAGCTTTTTTTTAAACGTTTGCTTTATATCAACCCCATTGGAATGCCTGGAGTGTTTTGTTATAGTGCTATAGCGCTATAAAGCAAACGTTAAAAAAAAAAAGCCAGATTACCCGCGCAGGCGAAAAATGGCGGGGGGAAAGGGGGGGAAAGCGGTGCAGTCTGAAATGGCAAACCGCTTCAGATCCAGCTCTTTACTGGATGGGGAGAGCCATGTGTGAAATGGCAGCCCTATACCGGTTTACTCCATGACGGATCAAAAACAGCTTCAAAATGGGTTAAAAAGGGTAATGTGAAATTCCTCATTATTTATAAGGCCAATGGTTAAGAAGAACAAAGCCAAGAAAGAGGAGAAATTCTTCTGCTCCCTTCTATAGAGGCATTTGGCAATGACACCACAGATGGGAAGGGGCTTGAGATCCCCACGTCTCCTGTCTACACATCTCACTTGGTAATACATTTGGCAACTCCACCATCAAATACCAAGAAAACATGGAATACGTTTTGGATTCCAGCAAAGATGAAAGAATGTACACTGCTTTATTTGCTGTATATTTGGTTTATAGTCTGTTAACGGCATCCCGTTCCCGGCTTCTTTGCTGTTGGTTTCATCATCACATTTATACTGCCTTTACATCTTCCATGGTCTTTATATGCAATTTAGACACACAACATAGATAGTTTATATGGATAATCACATATACTATGGATTTAAAATAAAGGTAAAGGTTCCCTTGCTCGAAAGCCAGTCGAATCCAACTCTAGGGTTGCGGTGCTCATCTCCGTTTCAAAGCCGAAGAGCCAGCACTGTCTGAAGACATTTCTGTGGTCATGTGGCCGGCATGTCTAAACACCGAGGCGCATGGAACGCTGTTACCTTCCCACTGAAGTGGTACCTATTTATCTACTTGCAATTTCTTGCTTTCGAACTGCTAGGTTGGCAGGAGCTGTAACCAGAGACGGGAGCTCACTCCGTCATGCGGCACACTCGGGTCTCGAACTGCTGAACTACCGACCTTCCACAGCCTGCGGTTCAGGGTCTTAACCTAACCGCTTGAGCCACCGCAGCTCCAATTTACAGACACACAAACAAGGTTGGAAAATGTGTGCATTTTAGTGCGGAAATTCCGCACAAAGAACTATAAATAATAAACTATAAAGGACCACGGTTTCAATTCGCGCACAGGCCAAACAAAATTGGAACACGAATTTTCCAGTCAGAAAAGATTCGGGATGAGAAAAACTAAGCCTACTCTAGATTTCAGGCTACCTTGTTCTTATCAGATCTTAGAAGCTAAGCAGGGTTGGCCCCTGTTAGTATTTGGATGGGAGAACACCAAGGAATTGCAGGGGTGTGAGTTGGGGCAGGCAATGGCAAACCACCTCTGAATTCCCATGAAAACCCCATGGAGGTTTCATGACGGGGAGCCCACCATAATCTGTGGTGGTTTCCACACAATTCCAGGCAATAAGAGATTGGATTTATACCCCGCCCTTCACTACCCGAGGGAGCCTCCTTTCCCTTCCCTTCCCCACAACAGACACCCTGTGAGGTAGGTGGGGTTGAGAGAGCTTGTGAGAGAACTGCTCGTGAGAGAACAGCTCTGAGAGAACTTGTGACTGACCCAAGGTCACACCAGCAGCTGCATGTGGAGGAGTGGGGAATCAAACCCAGTTCTCCCAGATTAGAGTCCGCGCTCCTAACCACGAGAACCAAACTGTCTGAAAAGTCAAAGAAGGTTACCACAGAGAAAGACAGGCAGGCAGACAGACAATAGAAGCCATTTTCAATAGGCCAGTATTATTGAAGAGCATATAAGAATGAGTTGTACCTGATACAGGAGAACCCGTGCCCCATCTGATACAGCTAAGACGTGTCCAACATTGGTCCTTGTTTGTAATATGATTGGGTCAGAACCCTGGAAATGACCCCCGATTCCCCATAAGGAAGGCCCGAAGCTGGTCTTGAAGATCTACAGCCTCTTCTGAGCTTGGGAATGCATCTCCAGTCTGGCCAATGCAACCTGCCTCGGGAAAGAAGACGACGGCAGCCCGCAAAATTCCCATGGAGGTGAATCAGACACTTGAACAGGACGTGCTTCGGAGACAACCTCAGCACCAGCCATCACAGAGAGCCACGTGAAGGTGTGCGATCGCTCCGCCCTTGCCTCGTAATGCTTCGGCCTGTTTTGGCAGAAGTTTTTGGAACCTCGCCCTCCAAGGTTGTCAGGCTACAGAACGCTGTCGCATAACTCTCTGTGAGAAACCTGTGACTGCGATAGTAATGATAGCAGGAACCAATGTGCTCCAGGAGTCGTTGCACATGGGGAAGGAGTGCTGGGGAACACCAAGCAGAGGGCAGAAGCCGTTTTGAGATCCGCTGCAGTTAAGAGCCACAAGGTGTGCCAGAAACTGATTTTGTAAAAGGGTGTGTGGGCTCTCCTTTGCTGAAAGTGTCAAAGAAGAGGTTGAATGGCCATCTTTGGCGGATGCTCTTAGCCTCACCAAATGGCCATTTTCCCGGTGGCATAACCGGTTTCCTCCCTTCTGGCCAATTGCCAGATGAGGGCTTATTTAATATAATGGAGGATACAGGTTTGTTTTTAACCCTTCAGCGCTTGTAAAGCAAAGGAATTTGCGGTGCAGTGTCATTAAGACACGAATATTTCTTTCATGTTCAAAATGATGGCTCTGGTTCGTCATGCTTACTTGGGTCCTTTCCGCAATTGCCCGCCCCTCCGGATTTTCTCAGTGTTTGAGTCGGGGCAATTTAAGTCCAGGGCAAAACAGCATCCAAATAACCCGGGGCAACAGCAGGCTGAAACCGGGCTGACGACTGAAGGGAGGGAATGTGATGCAGAATGGGGGGGAAAACCCAGAATAAAAAGAAGGTTGAACTCAATTTTAGTGCAGAATGGGAGGGGAAAACCTGGATTAAAAAGAAGGTTGAATTCGATTTTAGTGCAGAATAGCTTGCAGGACACCACGATGAACATGGATTAAAAGGAGAGCGCAGAAAGGGCATTTCCCCCTTGTTCACTCTTCAGTTCCCATCGTGCTCTGGGCTTTTCCGCCTCCACTGTGATAGAAATTCTTCCACTGACCCGCCACAGGTGCCAAAATACTTGGAAGTCGGAAGTTGACCCTGACCTGGGTAGCCCAGGCAAGCCCAATCTTGTCAGATCTCGGAAGCTAAGCAGAGTCGACTCTGGCAAGTGCTTGGATGGGAGACCTCCTTGGAATACCAGCAGTCGGGAGGCGGGGGCAGGCTTTATCCAGCCCCCTCTCTAAATAGCCTCCAGGCCCCCAGTAGGGGTCAGTCTATTTTTGTTTCTGTTTTGTTTCTGGTTTTGCATCGCTTAAAACACCTTCATCATGCTACATGTTAATTTGCTGTTCAGCCATCCAGAAGTTTCAACCTGACCTCCCATTCACTGTATTTGAAACAGTGTGCTTTGCACATGAAAGCTGAATACCCTGAATAAACCTTTGTTGGTCTTAAAGGTGCCACGGGACTCTAAATTTGTTCAGGTGTACACACAGTCACCAGAGCTTGCCATGACTTCCAGGGGCACACACACTCACATGCACACAAATGAAAAATACGAGAGAGAGAGAGAGAGAGAGAGAGAGAGAGATCGGAAGTTGACTAGCAAACTTCTATTCTGGGCTCGATCCAGTGCATGCTCTGTGATCCATTCCCATGTGGCTCTTGATGCGTCCACCTCGCCGATCCTGGATGTCTCAAAATCGTGTTTCCTAACCATGCAGGCTAGCACGAGTTGGCTTGGCCTCCTTTCAAACCAGAATTCCCTTTGGCCGAGTGTGTGCCTCTCTTTCCTTCTCTGGTTTCCTTTAGCAGGAGGCCTGTCATTTCAACAGCGAGCCGTTCTGTCTCCCCTCGACGGTGCGAGGCGTCAACGCTCCATGCGCCGACCGGTGAGAGTGGTCCACTCCCTAGCCACAGGAGTGCGGCAACGTTCTGGGCCTCCCCGCTGAGGGGAAAAAACGGTCCTCCTCTCACACCAAAACAAATCGACTTCCTGACATGGTAGCCAAACATCAGACATGACGGAAAGGCCCCGTGTTATTAATCACCGTTCTGGCTTACATAAGGAAGAAGGAGAGATCTGGTTTCATTCAACGAGAGCCGGATGAAAACCAAACTCTTGTGGTCTAGGTGAATGCAGCTGGGTCCTGTCCGTTCCCACAACATGAACGAAAGAATTCGCTAACATGCCGAGAAAAAAAGAGAGAAATCCCATCTGCTGGGCAGTCCAGATGCCACGATACATATGCCCCGTCTCTCCTCTCGGATCTTACATCTCCCTGCATACCCATTAAGTGGTTAATTGCTGTATGAAAAAAAGATAGGCTAACAGGATCGGGCCAGAAGTCCAACAGAAGTCAGCCAAACATTTTTGCAAATTTCAAATGGAGGGGACCTCGAGCGCTTTCCCGTTTACTGCCCGTGTCTGAAATGCAGAGGTATACTGCCTTTGGAGTAGTGGCTAAGTGGATGGACTCTAATCTGGGAGAACCGGGTTTGATTCCCCACTCCTCCACTCGCAGCTGCTGGATGACCTTGGGCAAGCCATAGTTCTGCCAGAGCTGTTCTCTCAAGGACACTTCTCGGAAGCTCAGCCATAACCTCCCTCACAGGGTGTCTGTTGTGGGGAGGGAAAGGGAAAGGAGTTTGTAAGCCGCTCCAAGACTCTGAGGGTATAAATCCAATCTCTTCTTCTTCTTCTTCATATGTGGAGTCATCATGGTCAACAGAGGCCGATAGATCTATCCTCCAAGAATTGAATGAATGCTTTTCGAAATGTATGTTTGTTCACGTGGAAGCCATAAAGTGTTGCCGATCTTCCCCAGGAAGCCCCCCCAGAAACCAGTATGAACATAAGAACATCAGAGAAGCCAAATGTTGGATCAGGCCAATGGCCCATCCAGTCCAAAACTCTGTCACACAGTGGCCAAAAATACCAGAGGCCATCAAAAGGTCCGGCCGTGGGGCCAGGACACCAGAAGCCCTCCCACTGTTCCCCCCCACCCCGAGCACCAAGAATACAGAGAATCCCTTGCCCCAGACCGAGAGTTCCTATCTATACCTTGTGGCTAGTACCCACTGATGGATCTCTGACTCCATATGCTTATCTAATTCTCTCTTGAAGCTGTCCAGGCTTGTAGCTGCCACCACCTCCTGTGGCAGTGAATTCCACATGTGAATCACTCTTTGGGTGAAGAAGGACTTCCTTTTATCCGTTCTAACCCGACTACTCAGCAATTTCATTGAGTGCCCATGAGTTCTGGTATTGTGAGAAAGGGAGAAAAGTACCTCTTTCTCTACCTGCTCTGTCCCATGCATAATCTTATAAACCTCAATCATGTCACCCCTCAGCCGTTGTTTCTCCAAGCTGAAGAGCCCCAAGCGCTTTAACTTTTCTTCATAGGGAAAGTGTTCCAACCTTTTGATCATCACAGTTGCCTTTTTCTGCACTTTTTCCAATGCCATAATATCCTTTTTGAGGTGTGGTGACCAGAACTGTACACAGTACTTCAAATGAGGTTGCACCATTGATTTATACAGGGGTATTTGTGATACAGTTTACTGCCCGTGTCTGAAATGCAGAGGTATACTGCCTTTGGACTGCAAGAAGATCAAATCAGTCAATCCTAAAAGAAATCAACCCTGACTGTTCCCTGGAAGGCCAGATAATGAAACTGAAGCTCAAATACTTTGGCCACCAAATGAGAAGGGAGCGCTCACTGGAGAAGACCCTGATGCTGAGAAAGATTGAAGGTCAAAGAAGACGGGGACGGCAAAGGATAAGATGGTTAGACAGTGTCATAGATGCAACTAACATGAAGTTCAGCAAACTTCAGAGGACGGCGGAAGATCGGAAGGCCTGGCGTGATCTGGTCCATGGGGTCGCGAAGAGTCGGACTCGACTGTGCGACTGAACAGCAACAACAAAAGGAGCTGTCGTGAGTCACTGCTCACTTCCTCAGATAGTGAGCGTGACTCACGAAAGTGCATACCCTACCACACATTTTGTTAGTCCTAAGGTGCTACTGGACTGTTTCTGAGTTCAGTGAGGCTTGAGGTGGTGGTGGTGGGAAAGTACTATCAAGTTGCAGTGAACTTATTGCAACCCTACAGGGTTTTCAAGGCAGACATTCAGAGGTGGTTTGCCATTGCCTATCTCTGTGTCACGGCCCTGGTATTTCCGCGGTGATCTCCCATCCAAATGCTAACCAGGGCTGAGTCTGACGCTGCTTAGCTTCTGAGATCTGATGAGATCGGGCTTTCTTTTAGGATGGACTGATTTGATCTCCTTGCAGTCCAAGGGACTCTCAAGAGTCTTCTCCAGCACCATAGTTCAAAAGAATCTATTCTTCGGCGCTCGGCCTTCCTTATAGTCCAACTCTCGCAGCCATACATGACTACTGGGAATACCATTGCTTTGACCATGCGAACTTTTGTTGGCAGGGTGATGTCTCTACTTTTTATCATGCTGTTTTGGTTAGCCATCGCTTTCCTCCCAAGAAGCAGGCGTCTTTTAATTTCATGGCTACTGTCACAGTCTGCGGTGATCTGGGATCCCAGGAACGTGAAGTCTGTCACTACTTCCACGACTTCCCCTTCTATTTGCCAAGGAGTGATGGGGCCGGATGCCATGATCTTAGTTTTTTTGATGTTGAGCTTCAAGCCAACTTTTGCGCTCTCCTCTTTTATTTTGAGCAAGAGGCTCTTCAAGTCCTCTTCACTTTCTGCCATTAGAGTGGTATCGTCTGCATATCTGAGGTTGTTGATCTTTTCCCCAGCATGATTCATCCACGACAGCTCCTACCCTGCCACAAGTTTTGTTAGCCTTTCAGATGCTGCTGGACTCTTGCTCTTTTCTCCTGCAGCAGACCGACTAACACGGCGACCCATCTTGATCTATCATTGAACGCAGTGAGATTTTCTTCTGAATCAGCGTTCAGAGGATCAGGCTCCACAGGACACCCTTTCCCACTATTTTGGGAAAG